GCCAGCCAGCCCTGACCTGGTTTCTCTTTCAGGACCACATGGTCAAGGAGGAAACGCGAAGCCTTACCCCAAAGCAGTGCGCTGTGCTGGAACTAGCGCTGGACACAATTAAGGTGAGTGCTGTATCCACCAACACACCTTTCAGGATGGGGGGGGGGAGCCCAGCCGCGGAAGGAGAAAGGGCCGAACCCATCAAGCTGAGGCTCCTGTTCCCCGCTGGGGAAGAAAACGGGTCTTGGGCTGTCGGTGAGCTTGATTTGTTAAAGGATGCGATCTAACCCACTGGTTCTTAACCTCAGGAGTTTTGGACTGCAACTCCCAGAAGCCTTCACCACCAGCTGTGCTGACTGGGGTTTCTGGGAGTTGCAGTTCAAGAGCATCCGAGTAACAAAGGTGAAGAACCACTGATCTAACCGACATTAGCAGATACCGTGAGCAGCAAACTCCAGAGAGTTCTAATGTGGTTCTAAGTGAGCTGATCCCGAAGTGATTCTAGAGTTGTCCCCGTTCCTGAGTTTGGCCCTTCAAGCGATGCTGGTCTTCTCCAGCCTTCTGGCCCAGCGGGCTATGCAGGTGGTTCCAGGGATGGCACAGATGAGCACCTTGGCCCGGGATAAATACAAACCGAGCGAAAGGCCATCTTGTTTGGGAAAGGGGGGGGGCAGTGGGGGGGGCCTTCTTCTTGCTCTGGATCCCTGAGAACTAGAGGGTGAGAAAGACTGTCGGGCCAAGACTGGGAAGGACCAGTGTCATTCGGACAGCCCCACCCAGGGCAGGAAAGCAGGCTCGGGGTTCTTGTGGGGAGGGGTCCTCCCAGCACGGCTGGCTGGGCTCCGGCAAGAGATCCTCTGCCCTGCCGAGTCTCAGCCGCCTCTCCTTCGCCCATCCATCTTCCTCCCTCCCCCCAGCAATACTTCCATGCCGGAGGCAGCGGCCTGAAGAAGACCTTCTTGGAGAAGAGCTCCGAGCTGCAGTCCCTGCGCTACGCCCTCTCCCTCTACACCCAGACCACGGACACCCTCATCAAGACCTTCGTCCAGACCCAGAAGGCCCAGGGTAAGGA